CTGAACTGAGAGCCTCGCGATGGAGTTCTTCATACGGTATAGGGCAAGGAAGGTTGGTGTAATCCACTTTCTCATCTGTTTTGCTCTTCTCATCGTTATGGATCGTAGTTGTACCAGCTGGTACGAACCCCGCCATTGCTGCTTCTCTCTTTAGCTTTTCTGGAGTTCGATTGTGATACAATCAGCAGAAATGTAAGTGAAGGAAGAGAGACAAAAACAAGGGTTTCCGTTTGAGAGGCGGGGCTATTCGTATGGGGTTTTAGCCAGGGTTTTATGTGACCTTCGGCTTCCCTTTGTGGGGCCCTTTCTCCTTTTTCTTTTTTATTCAATTAAATTAATTTAATTTTTTCTCTGCTTTTATATTTCTATAGGTTAGGGCAAATTATTGGTAATTTTGATTGAACGAAGCATTCCAACAATTATCCCAACCTAACATTTTCTTTATATTAATTTTCTTCTTAGGATAAATTATAGAGGAGTTATTATATTTTGATTTTAATTACAACTACCTATATCAATTTTATCAAATTATAATCTAACGTTGACCTTTTTAACAAACATAAAATTTAATTAAATAAATTACTAATAGTCGCTATTTAATTTTTAATAATTATTATATTCTTTTATTTAAGGGATTACGAATTTGAATTAGGTTGTACTTCAGTATATTCTTATTTGAATGTTATTTTATGTTGTATTGTGATTAATATTTATGAATTAATTAATTTATGAATGTATAAAATTTTATTTAATAAATTATTAAATAATTATTAAGATAAAAATTATTATTTTTATAATAATACACTGAAAAATTATTCACAAAATATATAAGATCTTGAAAAAATGAAAAATTTGACTGAAATTAAAAATATATATATAACTTAGTACTAATTAGATGAATTTGACTGATCAAAACATTATCATCAATTTATGTACCAATATTTCTAAAATAATAAACAAATTGAGAAAATTAAAGAGAGTTCGCCGGAAGTTTTTCTGTATGTACTTTATTAAGATAAGAGGAATATATATATATAGGAGAATATACACAATCTTGGCTACCTATGTCAAGCCTATCAAATTGTAATCCTCAATTAATAGGATTTAACACAAACTAATATAGGAAAGTAAATATATATAGAATATGAGAGATAACTAATGTAACGACTCCATAAATCTAAAAGGAAATATATAATAATTGAAGTGCGAAAACGAAATAAAATGTTAAGATTTACATCCATTGCACAATAACTTAAAAGTACTGAACAACATTACGAAATGAATTCTCTGAAATAAACACGAAAAATAAGAAACATAATAGAAAATAGAAAGTATCTAGCATCTACTTGCAATCTTCTTGCGGATCGAGCTTTAGAACCAGGTCATCTTGATCTAAAATGGTTAAATAAAGGATGAGCTACACTAACTCAGTAAAAATATCACACTATATAATCGGTATATAAGTAAAAATTGGTATAAAATCAAAACAACTAATGGAGTACTAAATTTAGCAAATTCATTTATCAATCATAAAATCATTTACCGTTCACTTACCGTAGTAGAATTTATGAAAACAACCTATAGAGATAATAATACCATATAGATCATAACTTCATGAACAATCAGTAATATAGAACATATCATAAATTCATATCCATTAACAATAAACCAAATCATAACCGTTTCTTATTTCACCAGCCTACTAGTATCCATGGGAGTTCATAAGAATGTCTCCGCTACACGTGAACCCTTTCCTTTAACAATCTCAATTATAGAGTCGTCCCCATACCTCGTCCGATATGAGTACCAAGACATTAAACCTCAATACCCCATCCGGTATGAAGGTGAAGCGGACCGTCCCCATACCTTGTCCGGTATGAGCGCTAAATTACTAAGTCTCCATACCCCATCTGGTATGAGACAACGTTCACGGTAGGGTTCCTCATGTATCCGATCCGTCCACCATCTCTCAGGATATCTAGTAAGGCTGTCATTCCATCTGTTTATTTGATCACACCCCTTTCCTGTTTTCCTTTAGTCTCCATTACCAAATCAAACATAATCACATAAATAAATAAACATGCATCCGGTAATGTAATTATGTCTCAAATCCAAATTAAACAATAGTCAGGTAAGGTAGTAATACATGCATTTAAACCATAAAATAGATAAATCAGATACTATCATGCTTTTAGATTGTAAAATAAATCAACAAAGAACAATGTCTGGTTCGGGCTCCATTAGTAATATGTAATTAGTTATGGACATATATTTAATTTGTACAAAATACCGTATTATTATTTATTTAAACTTCAATTTTATGATAGGGAAGAGGGTGAGGGGTCCTTACTCGATTTGACATCGAAAAGCTAAATGGTTTACTGCATCTACGAGCAGTCCCTCAATTTCTTGAATTTTTCTCCATAAACTGAAACGTGTTTATAGTACCTACAAATATTCTAAATAAATCCAAAATCAGTTCCAGGGCCGGCTCGGCCAATTTTGAAAATCCGACACGGCGGCTCCGCCGTGCTCCGGCGACTGTGTCGCCGCCCGCGGCGGCAGTCCGCTTCAGGTCGGCCGTTTTCGACCGTTTTTTACTAAATTCGGCCAATTTTGCATCGATTCCTATGAGCACACATGCTAAAGGGCTTCAGTGGGCTAAAAAAATATAAAAAATCAAAACTCACCAGCGGCGGGGCTCTCTGGTACGGCGGCTCCTCTGACTCACGTTGCAATTGGGTGTTTCGCTTCGCTCAACCTATAGAAAAGAAAATGGTGATCACAACGGTGAAAAAATTACACGAAACGGGAATCGAAAATGGTCTCATCGAAGGTGATTTGTGAAATTCCCTACGGTAGTGCTGCCGGATTTCATCGGTGTTTTTCGGCCAATTGGCCAGTTCTTTCACTCCGATTTGGTCATGGGTGGATTTAAAATTGAATTTCGTGTAAAATAAGAAATTTTTACCTTTTTGGTGGTCGAAAAGGGTTCCGGTGCGGCGGCGGGTAGCAGTGGTCGGCTCCCCAGCGATTGGGTTATTTTTTCCGACAAGGGGTTCTGGCAGCTAAAGTTAGAGTTTGGGTGCAGATAGAGTTATTTATACCCATCTGCTTTTGATCTGGATCGTCCATCGCGTTTGATATAAACCGTCCGATCGTGATTAAATAAGAAGTGAATCTGGAT